TGTCTCCTTTTTTTGGTATTTTCACGCAAATTTTTCTGCTAGTTGGGGTTTAGTCCAATTCTGTATCCTTCCCTTCAAGGCTCAGGGGTCCAAGATTAACTTCTGTGTCTGTGTTAATTGGTTTCCCTTTTCTTTGTTGAAGAGGGTCTTTGCAATCCTTCTGCCTAGTCTGCCATCTTGCCGGAAGCTCCCTCCAAATATATATTTTTTAAAAAAAAAACTTATGGAGCACAGTTCTACTCTCATGCACCTGGGGTTGCTATAAGTTAGAATCAACTCTGTGGCAGGTAGTTTTATTTGGATTATCTACTGGATCTTCTTCCAGGTACTAATGGTGATGAGGATGTGATGATGAAGTAGAAGTAACTAACATGTATATTCTATTCACTGTGAGCCAGACAAGCACTGTGCTTTATTTATTTATTTATTTTCATTGAATCCTGCTAGGAACCCAAGGAAGTAAGTATTATTACTGTCTCCATTTCACATTTGAAGCACTAGAGGGACAAAGAAGTAATTTGGCCAAGATCTTAGTGTGGGTAACTGTCTGATGTGGCTTCTAATTTAGGCTTGTGGATAGCTATGATTATATTCACACATGTTGTTTGCTCTCTTTCTCCCATCTTTTCTAATTCTTTCAGCTCTCATTTTTCATTGTGGAGAATGCTTAGTTTGGATGTGGATGTTATATAACCGATGTCTTCTTAGATGTCTCTTGTTGTTTTTGGCTGCGATTAAGTCAGCCCCTGACTTATGGCAACCCCATGTACAATGAAACAAAACACTGCCTGGTCCTGCATGCCATCCCCATGTTGGTTGATTTGAACTATTGTGACCCATAGGATTCATTGGCTGATTTTCAGGAGCAGATCCCTAGGCCTTTCTTCCTAGTCTGTTTTAGTCTAGAAGTTCCACAGAAACCTGTTCAGCATCATAGCAATATGCTGTTGAGCCTCCACTGATAGATAGGTGATGTCTGTACACAAGAGGTACCTCAGCCAGGAACTGAACCCAGGGCTCCTGTATGGAAGGCAAGAATTCCTACACTGTAGTCATCTTTAAATCTCTCCTGAGCTGTGCTGTCTAATACTGTACACACTAGCCATATGTGGCTATTTATTTATATTTAAATTCAAATTAAATAAAATTTAGAATTGACTTGCACAGGTATAATAGCCACATTTCAAGTACTGTAGCTTCGTGTGGCTAGTGACTCCTGCATGGGAGAGCACAGATACAGAACACGTCTCTCATTGCAGAGTTCTGTTGACAGTGCTGCTTCGGAGTATACTTCCCTATGCAGACATTTTCTGTACAAATGCTAGTAAAGAGGCTTTCTCTACTTTGAGACTAAATAGAATAGCTAATGGCAAAAGTAGAAAAAGACATAAATGCAAATACAAAAACATAAGCTAGCAAGGAACTTGAGACAAGTCCCTTTAAGTAGCTTGAATTTTACTTGGTTTTCCCTCAGATATATCCTATAATACTGCACATAGCCTTTGCCAGCATTTGACTTTTGTTTGAACTTATGTTTCAGGTTTGACAAATATAAATTAAACCTCTGTGACTAGTCAACACATACTCAACATCATAATTTCTACCTGTTAGGGAGAACTATGGCTAGAAATTGCAAACAGTGTTTATTGGATCATATTGTCTTTAAAAGCTTTTTTTCTGTTACACTTTTAAAGCAAAGTGGAAGAAGGCCACAAGCTACAACTCTGCTATTTCTGCTGTCCTTAAATATTTATAAAGGTCAATCATCCTTAAAGGTTGAAAAATTATCTAGAACACTTTTTAAAATAATTGTTTAATGGTTGATGTTGCCATAAAATCTTTTACAGGCACAATCTTGTGAAACTACCAGAGGCAGCATAATATTTTTCCTGATGTATGATGACATAGTCATCCGAGTTCCTACAGGCATGTTCAATAACCTTGCCTCATTGTGGGAGTTAAATTTGTATGTGAACTTGGCTGGGCAGCTGGTGGTAGTTGATTCCCCAATCAACTCCATGGTGGGATCTACCACAAGCAGCCTTTGGGATGTGGTCTGCTTCCTGTATATAAGGAGAAGCCTTGGGGATAGTCTGTAGCTTATGACATGCTTGGACCCTGCATGTAGCTGTGTTATTGTTCAGCAGCCTGCCATGCTCTGCCGATCTTGGGACTTACCATGGACTTAAAGTAATGGTCTGCCGTGTGGTTTGGTAGCATCAGGACTGTGCCATTTTATTTGTAGACCTTTGGCCTGTTAGCCTCAGCAGCCAGTAGCTGCCTGAGTGAAGAGATGCCTCTAGCTTCAGTGGGCCAGGAGCAAGAGGCAGAGCTGAAGCCCAAGGTCAAGGGGCTTTCACACAGCCTCTAGAGCCTGGCACTTTGAACTTGGACTTAAAGCCTCCAAATTGTGAGAGAATAAACTCCTGTTTGTTAAGGCCATCCCACTTATTCTTGTCAGAGCAGCAGTAGGTAACCAGAAAAATCATTTTAGGAACATTTCATTCTACTTAATAATTCCCATTCATTTGTTTAATACATATAAAAGATGCTTGAGATTTCAGAAGAAAAATGAAAATTAACTTCGTTCTTATATTAGGAATATGTGTGTTTATGTATATATGCAGTGACAATTTAGAAATTACAAACATTTCAAAAGTAGGGAAAGTGGGTGAGGTAGAAGGAAGGATAAGATGTAAAATAAAATCAGAGTCCTCTAGAGAAACAAAACCAAT